TGTAGCTACTAATTTTTAAACTACCAATAAAGATACGAGCAAGGCCTCACCTTAATACCAAAAAAAAAAAAAAAAAAGAGATGGGGTCTCATAGCCTAATGGTCTAGGCGCTCTTTTCTTCACAGACAAGGTTGACAGTTTAATTTCAGCTAAAGGCAACTCTGTAATCTACAGAAGCATATGAATGTACATGAAGCCCTGTAGCTAAGTCCATATGATTAAAAGATCAGTATATAAGAAAGTTTCTGAAAAAAAGATTTTTGATATAGAAAGTTGGCACTTGATGTGAAAGAAGCAGTAAACATATCAAAAATAGAGAGAAGGTGCACTAGTGGGTAATACAGTAAACATAAAAGAAAACTATGTAAAAGAAATGGACTTACTGAAATTTGAACACTTCTGGCATCAAACCAGTTCTAGTAGATACAAGATATACTAAAATTAGATAATCTAAGAAGTAATTTTGGTACCATACTTAGTAAGTTTGTGTTGAGAATAAATTTGAAAGGACTATGGATACTTAGTAATATCCAATGAGGTGGTACTCAGATATAAATAGTAATTAGATAGCCCTAACCTGTTCTGTCACAATTATGATAATATACATTGTATATATATGCAGTTAAGTGTTAAAAATTAGAAAGTTTAAATAGGGGACTCACAGGTGGGTTTCAGATATAGCATTTAGTAGATAACTTATAGGCAGAACTCTTAATTAGATAATGACTAAAGTTATATATATGACTAGTTGTACTTTCATTGATATACTCTGTATATAATATGTAATCTTATACTACTACTAATAAAAAGACACACAGGCAAGACTGTCCTTAAAAATAAAATAAAATAAAATTATTATTATTATTATACAACAGAGTGAAACCTGTGATACTAATTAGTAAAATCTACATTAATTAGTTACATTATATAAAACTTAAGATAGCAATATAAAATTTATAATTATTATTTATCATATGTAAAACCTGCTTTTTATTATATATACTTAGATAAATTTATTTTTAATTAGATAAAATTTGCTTTGCTTTATTTAAATATGTAAAATCTACTTCTGATTAGTAAAACTTGTTTTTTTCTTTATTTTATTTACAAAATCCATCCTTTTCTTAAGTAAAAACTTGTGAACTTGTAACAAGAATTCAAATATATGATTGATTAACAGTTAGATAATCTATCTTTTTTATCTTCTCTAGATCTCATTAAATCTCTAAATGTCTTTTTAAATTATAACCTATATACTGTATAAAACTGTTGCTAAATTTTGAGTATTATGTAAACTTGATATTATATTATAAATTGAATAGTTTAATGTATAGTAATAAAACTTTTATCTAAAACAAATTGCCTTGATAAAAATTTTTTAATATTGACTTTTTTATTTTTGCTTCAGAAATTTAAATATTACTCAAATACCTTCTTTCTATGATATTTTTTCATAAAAATTAACAGAATTTAAAAATACTAAATTGTGCAACATGGATACTTATATTAATGTATAAGTAACTTATAGTTAAAAAACAAATACAAGACCTAATCCTTCAAATCTTTACATAAATTATATAATCTATAATATAGTTATTTTTGCAGAGTAGACATGAACTTCCTATGCACATTGTTCTTGCATGATAGATATTTTTCAATCTGTTATACTGATATTATTTTGTATTTTTGACATTCTCAAATCAGACATCTGCAATATAGTGATTACTATCACAATAAAAAACTTTTGTAAAATGATATCTACATTTAAAATTAGTACAAAAAAAAAATCTGTTTATAAATTAGTAGATAGAGATAAAATTTAATCTTAAAAATTTAATACAGTATTATTATATGGTAATTCTTATAGAATTTCAAAAAAAGTGACATATAATAAAATTTGCAAATTTCTGGAAATTTTAATAAATTTTTCACTGATACAAAGAAGTTATGCATAAATGTCTAAATTATTTTTTAAAAAAAGCAATGTCAACAAACATTTTAACATTTCTATTTTTTTATATAAATTCTCTAAAGCAACTATATTACCTAATATATTATGGCATAAAGAATTCAAATAATTTACTAAAAATTTTGACAACTATGAAAATTAATTTTATTACTAAAAAGAACTATTTTCAACAAGCTAAATGCTAAAATAATTTAGACATCTATGTATAAAAAGTATCACAGATTATTGAACAATTTACTTATGAACACAAATAAGTCATTCAGTAATCTGTAGTATCTTCTGTAAATTTTTACTTTTGTTGTATGTTTATATATTCTGAAAGAAAGTTAATTTCTTCTGGTAGGTCTTTATTCTCAAAATACATTCTTTCATTAGTAATGCTAATGTCTATAATATTAATCACAAGAACCAAGAACAGCCACTGGTCAATTTGCTTCATTGATTTAGTTTTGATTGCATATAAATACAAATATTTAAAAATATATATATATATTAGAAAGTAGAGAGTAGGTAAATAGCAATGTTGTTAAATGAACATGTTTATTGGTAATTGTTACATCTTTTTATTATGCTATTTATCACATTAAATAATAAAAAATATAATAAAAAGATGTAACAATTACTAATAAATAAGCTGTTTAACAATACTGATAAATAGATAATAAAAATAAATCACTTAACTTGACATTTTCTGTCTCTATTGAGGTATATTTATCAATTTTGAAAGCATTCTTAGGAATATTTATTAATTCTTTATTTATAATATTGAACTCTGTATCATATAAGATAATATAAGGAGTTTGCCAATTTTTAAGACATGCTTCAAAGTAGTCATTTTTTAGTAATATGAGTTCTTGTGTTTTTCTATTAAAATAATAAAATAAAAAAGAATAATTAAATTTTGAAGTATTATTTAAAAAAATAACTAGCAGCAAGTATATAAAAACAATCAAAAAATTGATATATTAAACCAATACAAAAATTAAATTAACTAAGCATAAAATAAAAATTATTAAGCAGTTATATGAATAAGTATAATGTCATAAAAATTTGTTGGGTGCAGAATTTTCTTTAGGCAGTAATCTGAATTACTTATATATATTATTGTACTTTTGATAATGAGAAGATTTTAATCCATAGAATCATGAAAAAATTGTTCAAAAAATTGTTCTAAAAGTCTTCCAAATAAGTTTATTTGATCTGTTTTGGTTAATTTAGTATACAATGACAAAATTTTGAATTCAAAGAAACTTAGCCTCTACCTATTTTTTCTGCTTCATTAGGTCAAAAACTTGTAGAATATGATGAGCACATAACTTTAAGTTAGCTAATGCAAAAACATTAGCTTGATTATAAATATCTTGATGAGTAAAAACACTTTGAATAAATGTAAAACTTGTATCTACTGAGCAAGTGAAAGTAAAATATAATGCATATTTCTTTCCTCCATATGACATTGTAAAAACAATAGCATTACTATGAGAGTTCTTAGATGATTGTATAAACTGTAAAGATGTAATTTGCTTATTCACCTAGTAGTATTAATTTATAAAGTATATTATCAAATAAAATAAAACAAGATAAAAAATTGGATGAAATTATAGTTGCATTACCTTTTTGTTTTTTTTTACTTATTTATCAGCATACTTAATTATATCAGCTAATTGAACTACAAGTTAATTTGTATTCCCATTTTTGAAGATAATATCTACAATAACCCTACTCTTACTAATAATATTAACAATCTTAACTATATAGTAAGATATGTTCAAAATTGTGTCTCAGAGTTGAATAGATTCTTTTGGCTTTTTCTCTTATTTTTAGAACCTCTTTTTTCAGATAACCTATGTTCATTCTTATTGTGACTATTGGCATCTTTTTGGTGAAGATAGAACTTGAGAGAACTGCTTACAACTGATTCAGTTATAGACTTTTAAATAATATGAAAAAAAAACAAAAGATAAGTTAGTATAATATTGTCAAGTTAATTTTGCAATTTGCTAATCTAAAATTTCATTATTTATAACATAGTTTAATACAAAAAAGTTATAAATATTTAATTAAAATTTTTGACTCATGATTATATTTATATATATATTTTTTTTTTTAAATATTAAGGTGAGTACTTGCGATCCAGGATTTTATTAATAGTACATTCAGCTAATAGTTGCATTACAACCACAGGAGGCAACCATAGAAAGAGTATACAACTAGCCACTTGTACAACTTTAGTCATTGTTTAATTTAAGTAGTCCGCCCGAAGGTTCTACACTAGCTGCCATACCTGGAATCCACTTGTAGGTTCCCTATTTA